GTGAAAACTTTTGACCTATCCATGCCAGACAATGAAAATTCGTAATTTAATTTTATTAAACTTTACAATGGAAAATAACAGTTTAATAACTAATAGTCCTACAATCGATAATCATTTATAGGTTAAATATTCAGATATACTTTCAAACCTCTCTAGGCATATATATAGTTCTTTCGGTTGACAGAATAACTAACTCCAATTTTAACATTCTTTATTATTAATTATAGTATTGTTTCTAGTGAAAAAATGTATATCTTTATTCACAATACTATATTTCAACACTGCAATCACCTACTCTGGAATCAACTTGAGTAAGTTTAAGACAGTGAGTACTGTCTGTATAGATAGAACTTTTTCAACTAGAAATTACTCAAAAATGTTGAAATTGGTGTTAGCCATTCTCTCAAATAAAAGGCTTAGAGACTGAAGTTTTGTTTATAAAAGCAGATGGAGTAACTAGGGTTTTATTGTCTACCGTCGATTTAATAAATAGACTTTTTGTAATTTTAATCTTCTTAATGATCTGTTATTTGGCAAATTAACAATGGCATTATAGTAAGGATTTTCTCATTTATAAATAAAAAAACATAATTTACATTTTCACAAAAAAGAATGAGCCCAATAAGTCATTCCTAAGTTTTATTTTAAAATTCAATTTAGAGTTCTACCATTTTTTTTTTTGTGGTGTACATAGAGGTTTTTATTTTATTTATTGTACATAGAGTGTGAATGTGAACTGTGAACTCTATTATAAATCTCCAGACAGATTGTAATATTTTTCAATAAATAAGTTTAAAACTTAAAAAAAAAACAAAAAAAAAACAGTGGATAGTTTCTCAACAAGTGATTTCATGCTATTATATTCTTTTATTCACATTTACTGAATGTATTTTTACTTTTAATACAGTTGTAAATATCATCAATAAAAAAAAAAATTTAATATTTTTTATTATATATTACTTTTACATTTTTCTACCTTCTCTATCTAAAGTATTCGAAAAAATTCTGTTTCGGCGTTTAAATTCACTTAGACTATTTGATGTCATTCCAAATTTCCAGTACGGGTTCGACTATTCAACAATATTACCGCCTTATAGATTACATGTCTTTCTCGCTAGAATCAAAATTGTACTGTCCTGGCGTTTTTCTTGACATGAGTCAGGCTTTTGATAGAATATGGCACGATGGTTTGTTACATAAATTAAAAACGATCATTCCTCCAGGCAGTGTCTTGGGCCCAACACTTTTCAACATTTACTGGGCAGACATCCCACAACATTCTGAAACACCGTTGGCTACATTTGCTGATGACTCGGCAATATTAACACATAACAAGGATGCAGCAAAGGCTTCTCAGGTACTTCAAGAACACCTAGACGACATAGCTTGTTGGGCTAAAAGGTGGAGAATAAAAATGAGCGAGTCTAACAGTCAATTTGTTTCATTTACACTTAAACATAACTCTTTTCCTCCAGTTTTCTTTAATAATATGGCTCTAACACCTTCAAAAACTGTACGATACTTGGGTCTCCACTTGAACAAACGACTGACATGGACATACCACATAAAACAAAAAAGAAAAGAACTTAATCAGCGATACGGACTTCTTTCTAGGCTACTTGACAGACGTTCTAAATTATCTGTGACTAATAAATTAACTATTTACAAAGTCCTCATTAAACCACTATGGACATATGGGATCGAACTATGGGGAACAGCAAAGAAATCAAATATAAAAATCATTCAGTCATTCCAGTCAAAAGTCCTTCGGAAAATTGTAGACGCACCCTTTTACGTTTCAAACCTCACGTTACGCACTGACCTTAAGACTCCTTTCATCACGGCAACTGCCACTGACCGCTTTAATAATTTTCATGGCAGACTGACTCTAAATTCCAATCCACTTACTCAAGCTCTATCTACTGCCACAAATCCATATAATCCGCCCAGAAGACTGCTGAGGCGCTGGCCAAGAGACTTATTGCATTGAGCTACTTGCTGCATTATCTTTTTTTGTGTGTGTATTTGTTATTATGTTATAATGTATGTGTTATTTTACTACGTTTTTTTTTTGTTTTTTTTTTTTGTCTTGTTATTCTTCTCCTTGATATCATATTTGCTGAATACTAAGGTAGATGGCAAATTTATTGTGAGCCACAAATATGTACAACTAATAAATAAAAATAAAAAAATAAAAACATTTTTGTAATAACAATTTTCATTCGTCAATCCGTCGTTTAAGATATTTTGAGATGTGAACTTAATATAATTTTCATGTAGATCAGTTGGAATTAAATAAGACTCTTAAAACCAAAAAAATAAACAATATAATCATGTTAGGAGTAATAAACATAAACTCAACATATAACTTTTGAAATTTATAAATTCAAAAAAAAAATTATGATCCATTGATTAAAAAAACAACTTAACATATCAAAAAATGTCTTTATGATTCATTGATTAAAAAACAACTTAATATATATCAAAACATGTCAATTTGAGTTTTTAAACTAAAAAAAAACGTTGGGAACAAGTTTCAAACATCACTAAATACGAAAAAAAAATACTTTACTAAACATAGTTTGCGGTGAGTCTATGGGAATGTTAGAAATTATTGTTTCTCGGCCAACGAAAGTATATTACATAATTCTGTACAAGCTATTTCCATACGTTCACAGCGCCGATTTTACAGTAATCAAATGTCAGTCATTAAAATAATACTTTCTAACGTTTTTTTTTTTTATTTAAACTTATCAATTAATAGAGTAAAATTAAAGAATGAATAAAAACAAATAGTAAACTGGCATGATTTCAACTACAATTCCAACATTTTCTTCATCAGACATTTTTGCATGTATTTTTTAAAATTTATTTATTTAGAAATATAATAATCTGTCAGACGGACAATAATTATAATGAGATATGAACACATCCTACACCATATATATTGTACAATAAAAAAAATAACCTAAAGATAAGTAAATTAGAAACATAAAAGCACAACCATGCCTATACACAATCAAACAGGGAACCCCAAGCCCGGCTTGTCTCTCTAAACATAGATGGAAAAGCAGAATTCCAAGAGATCTCTGTACTACTCTCTCAATCGCGTCACTGGTGCTAAGTGGAGATTGGGCGAGAGCGCTAAAGCCACTACTAGCAAATTCGCTGCTTATTACTTCACTTGGATAAAAGTCTTACTTGGAATCCTCATACAAAGACTGAAATGACAAGAAACTGCTCGACGTTTCCGACTACTCCAACACTTACTAGACAAACGCTCTAAATTTTCAGTTAATTACAAAAGACTTATATACAGAACTATAATAAGACCTATTTGGACTTACGGAGTTGAGCTTAGGGACTCCACTAAACCATCAAATTCCTCTCGTATCCAATCCTTACAATCCAACAATCCAAAATCCTTCGTAAAATCCCTAATATACCATATTTCGCTGACTTAGCCCGAGCCAGATATCTATCCTTTCGTGATAAACTCCAGTCCCATCCAAATCCTCTTGTTCTTCCTCGATTCCTGATAATCCTCCTAGATGTCTGAAAGTAAGATGGCCTCGTGATCTTCTCACCTAGAATTATTTAGGGAGTGCTACCACTGGGCAGTATCTCTTCAAGTCTGTTCATGTCATTATTTCTAATTGGTGTATAGTTATTGGTTGTATTTGTATACAGTTGTAAATTTCATTAAATAAATAAAAAAAATTAAAGGTTATAGATTCTGAAGTTATAAAAATTGTAAGGGATCGTAGCGAGAAACACTTTATAATCATAAAATGGTGGTGCCAAGACAATATTTTGAAACTTATACATAAATATATAGTAATATATGTAAAATATATATATATATATATATATATATATATATATATATATATATATATATATATATATATATATATATATATATATATATATATATATATATATATAATGACATGTCAGGTATGGGAAAGAACAGTACTCAGTAGCCTCTTGTCTTGCTTGTTTTAAATTTTTAATTACTTAGATTGTCTAAGAAAGGAGATCTCTCATCCAACGCCTTTTTAGTCTCCACCGCATATTCAGGGTTATGTCAGCTGTTGCCATGTGTCTTATTAATCTGTTGTTTTCGCCGTTTAAACATGCATTAAATCGTTGGTAATGGGTCATTATATGTTGGTCAATTGTTTTAAAGTGGAAGTCAGTATGTAGAGTTTTGTTAGTAACATACCAAGGAGCTTTTGTTATGAACTTTTTCTATTTTGCACTTTAAATTTGAAAAAAAATATTCAGTTCTGTTCTGCGTGTATAATGTTCAAAAAAAAAAATAATAAAATAACACCTTTTTGCACTTTTTTGGACACCCCGAAATTCATCTGTTCAAATTATGGAAAGGAGTACGGTACAAATAATGGACATGCCTCAGAAAAATTCTAAAATCTTTCTTTTACTATAAAGATCAGATAAATGTTCAACTTAGTCTTAGTGAAATTATTAGTGGGAAGGTATGAAACAAACTGATCTCAAGAGCACTATAGAAACAACAATGATAAGCCTTTTTAAAAGTTTTGGCAATAATAAGTCGCAATAATTTTAATTGGAAAGTTTAAAGTTTTTGATTAACACAAACATTTGTGTTTCCACAAGTATTTGTTTCCACCCTTCCTTCTTCTTCGATTTCTGATAATCGTCTAGGTGTCTGAAAATAACCATCTCATGATCTTCTTACATAGAATTATTTAGGGAGTGCTACCACTTGGTAGTATCTCTTCAAGTCTTTTCATGTCATTATTTCAAATTTGTACATATTTACTATTTGTATTTATATACAGTTGCAAATTTCATTAAATAAACAAAACAATATTATATTTTAAAGCATGCATTTAACTATTATTCTTTTTTGTGTTTTTTTTTTTTTTTTTATTTAAACAAATACTTAGAAACTTAAAAATTTAAAATAAAGACGTTAAACCATTCTTGCTAATCGACTTTTGCTGTTGCAGGAACTGGGAAGATTCCACGGAACCTCATTAGCATTGAAGCACGTCGACCCCAAGTCCTTCAGCAGCCTCAAGATGGCGGTGCAAGAGCTGGTCTTCGTGCCCGAAGCAGTGCCCGTCTTCGGAGCGTCTCTGGAGAACTCCCTGAGGATGGCCTTAATGGGGCTAGAGGTGAGCTCTTGGACATGTTCGGTCACGGAGGGGTGATATCCATGCCATCTATAGGTTCCTTTCGGTAATAGTCGAGATGGACGATACCGTTCACTGGAAGAGGAGTTCCGATCAAATACTTAGTATTCTAATGGGCAAGGTTATGGGACAACATTGGGGTTTCATAAACGCGATTTATGATCTATAAATATAATAATTATATATAGACAGATAGAAAGAAAGCTTTATTTCATATACATTTTATATATTACTTTTTTTTTTTTTAATATCAAAACTTTTACTGGCTATGGTTGGTTGGTTGTGTAGTAAAGTAGAATAGTGTTGCCCAAATGCGAGATCGTTACGAGTCTTGGTCTTGCAAACTCAGTCTTGGTCATGGTCTTAGTCATGCGCAAGAGTCTCACAACGGTCTTGCAGTTACTTATTAACTTATTACTATACAGATATTACTATAATTTTAAACCGTATTTAAAACCTAACTAAGCCCGATTGAAAAATTAGAGGAGTTAAATGCAAAATTATATTGGTTATAAAAATTATTTACATATAGTAACTAAGATTGTCAAGTATTAGTAACTATTTTGTCTTACTTTTTATTCCAAAAATCGACTTTTTTTACCAGTCCTGGTCTTGGTCTGGCAACAGTTAGCCGGCCTTGGTCTTGGTCTTGCGAAGTGCAAGACCAAGATCCATTATGGGCAACACTAGCGTAGAACCTGTTGGTCATCAACTCCGTTAATTAAAATTATATATTATTATATATTTGGTTATAAATATTAATAATTGGATAAAATTATAAAAAATGTAAAATGCACGTTAAGGTAAAAGTTGTTTATTTTTATTAAAGTTTAGTTATTTAAAGTTCGCAGGATAGGTAAAAAAAAAAAACGCTGCAAATTATTTCACAACGGTTTATTATCTCCAAACAATTATACATCTAACGTAACATTACCTTCCTAGTTACAAAGAAAAAAAAAAACAAAAGGTGATTGCAATTATTGGACTAAACTGTTTTTTTCTTTACTCATTAGTAATATGCTTAAAAAAAAATAGCATTAGTTCAGTAACACATCTAAAATTTAAAAACCAAACCAAGGATATAACATTTTTTAACACATAAAAAAAACCGGAGACCATATCTTTGCTCCTAATTAAAGATTTTTTATTTGTTTTTTAGGAAATTTCGTAAACTTTTAAAAAACTAATACAATATCAACAAAAAAGTAAAAATGATGTAGAGATGGTTGACCGTTGATATGATATGAGAAGGAGTTAGTTGAGGGTGCGGTCAAATAAATAAAAAAATTAAAATATATAAATAATTTTAATTTTTGCCGACATTTCGACCCACTTTGCAGGTCGTCTTCAGGGCTACAAAAGATACAAACATGTTGAAAAAATAAAAATAAAATAAAAACTAAATATAAGTATATATAAATCACGAAGAAGTTGTCAGATACAGAAATAAAAGATAAATAAAATAAAATAAATACATGATAAGAAAATAGATAAAAGAAAATAAATACATGAATGTTAACGAATAAATGAATGTTAACGAATAAATAGATTGTAAATTGAATAACTATTGTTACAATAAAGTTAAAATATGGATAAGATAACATAATAATAAGATATCAGTGGATAACAAGCAAGTGGAGGTTACCTTTAATTGTAAATAAACAGATAACGGGACCAAAGGTTAAGAAGTGAAGAAATTGAAAGATTAATATGGTAACATTAGTGTAATATTGTTGGGATAGATTATTAAATATAAATAACTCTATAAGAAAACAAATTATTAATTAAATTACTAATTAATTTTAATTAATTATTTCTTATTTCTTTTATTTGTTTATTTAGAAATATTACATTCTGTCACATCAAGGACATTTATAATAGTGTTCAGAGAAAGCACACTCACACTCTATTTACAATAAAAAAAAAAAATAAAATAATACAGAAACTTAATAATAATAAATACAATGAATAAAATAAAAATAAATACAATAAAATAAAATGAATGTATATAAACAAAAGAACTAACCTAATCATACACACTCGGGCTTGAGTGGAGGATCTGGCCATTGCCAAAACTCCAATAGATGCTTATTTACAAAAGGTCTCTGGGCCACTGCCGCTTCAACCTTCGAGGAGGATTGTAAGGATGGGTGGTGCTGGATAGAGATTGTGCAAGGGGATTTGGATGATAGGTAAGGTTCTGGTGAAATTTGGAGAATTTTTCTGGAATAAGGTCTAGGACAAATGGGATATTAAGGTCATGGTGTAGGATTTTGTTATTTACATAGAACGGAGCATCAACTATTGTTCGAAGGACTTTAGATTGAAAGGATTGAATACGTTTGATGTTAGAAGCTTTTGCTATACCCCACAGTTCAAGTCCGTATGTCCATATAGGTTTCAGTATTGTCTTGTAGATAAGTAATTTGTTTTCAATAGAAAGTTTGGATTTTCTGTTTAGTAGTCTGTATAGCTGGCCGTATCGTCGGTTGAGTTCTTGTCTTTTGAGTCTAGTATGTGGGTTCCACGTCAGTCTTCGGTCTAAATGAAAGCCAAGATACCGGACTGTGTCTGAGTAAGGAAGCTGGATGGAATTAAAGTGTACTGGTGGACAGGAACTGCGTCGGAGTGTAAAGGTAATGTGTTGGCATTTAGATTCATTAACTTTAATGCGCCAGTTATTACACCAGTGCTCAATCAAGGTGAGGTGGTTTTGGAGATTTAAGGATGCTATGTTGGGATTAATTAATTAATTATACATTTTATATATTACTTTTTTTTTTTTTAATAACAAAACTTTTTCTGGCAATGGTTGGTTGGTTGTAAAGACGTAGAACCTATTGGTCATCAACACCGTTAATTAAAATTAAATATTATTATATCTTTTGGTTATAAATATTAATAATTGGATAAAATTAAAAAAAAATTAAAATGCACGTTGAAACAAAAAGTTGTTTATTTTTGTTAAAGTTTAGTTACAATTATACATCTAAAGTAACATTACCTTCCGAGTTACAAAGAAAAAAAAAACAAAAGGTGTCTGCAATTATTGGACTAAACTGTTTTTTTCTTTAATCATTAGTAATATGCTTAAAAAAAAATAACATTAGTTCAGTAACACATCTAAAATTTAAAAACCAAACCAAGGATATAACATTTGGAGTAGAACACATTTAAAAAAACCGGAGACCATATCTTAGCTCCTAATTAAAGTTTTTTTTTTTGTATTTTAGGAAATTTCGTAAACTTTTAAAAAACTGATACAATATCAACAAAAAAGTAAAAACTTTTCGAGTTATTCGGAATTTAATTTTACTATCCCTCGTAACTTTTTTTCCAGCTTCTTTTCGTTGAAGTATAGTATATAGATAAATTTAAAGGGCATCGAGAAAATTACTTCAGCGAAGTTTTATTGAAATCTGTTCATTCGTTTAGGAGCTACATTCTATAGCAACGCAGGTTTTTCGGCCGCCATTTTGAAAGTTAAAGGCGGAGAGTAATGTCGATGAAGGAGGATTATCCTCGGGTGACCTCTGATTTTATATCAAATTTGAAAAAAATTGGTGCAGTAGTTTCGAAGAAAGTGAGCGGACGGCGTACGGCGGAGGGACAAAAAAATTTTTATTCGTTTTTCGAATTCTACGCGTCCTAAAACGTGAAACCTCAAATTTTGAGAGGGGGTTAAGTTTTTGAATTTTTTGGTCGATCACAATTGAAAATAATAAACCAAAAAATGATAACAGGGAAAAAGAGGTGGGGAGTGTTGCGTGAGAGGTTCAGATATTTTTTAAGATTCCTTCTTCGGAGAGAAAACATATGATTTTGCCTGGGATTTTTTCATCATTTCCCAAAGCAGCTGGTGTATTTGCTGGTATTCCTCTTTTGTTTAATTGTCTAATGTAAAAAGCACAACTCTCGAAGATATGGACCACTGTCATTTTCTCTTCACACTTCTTTCGTAATTAATTGAAGGTGCGTAAGCCTGGTATGTCTTATTCTTAGTCGCGTAAGGACAACTTCCTCTCTACGTTTACTGCGACTGAAACTGTGCTCCATGGCTTCACTTCCTTTTGTATCATCTTTAATTTATTTGGAGGGCTGTTGTCCCATAATGTCTGCCAATCCTATATGGCCTCTTTCAGGAGTCGCGCCAGTTCGGACGCAGTCAAGAAGGCAATGGTATAGAACCTTCTGCCTGGAGTTGCCCTAAAAATACATACAATGAAAAGAAATAATAATAATAAAATAAATAAATACAATTAACTATCAACTTTGAAATATATTTTTTTTTTTTATTATTTTAATGGAATTTACAACTGTATTACATAGAAAATACAATAAGTAAATGTGAAATTGGTAACATGACATGTACAACATGAAGAAAAACTACCCATTGGTAGAACTCAAATTTGGAAATATAAAACAGCCTTTTGTTATTTAAAACAATATAAAACAACTTAAAACTACCTAATATATATAATCTAAATAAACTTTAATTTATCAAAAAATAAAAAATAAATAATTTATGTTGCATAACCTTAATCTCATACTTGCTTTTGTTTACATATAACTATTGTTGCCCAAATGCGAGACCGAGACGAATCTTGCAAACTCAGTCTTGGTCTAGGTCTTGGTCTTGCTCAAGCCTCTCGTAACACTCTTGCAGTTACCTCAGCTTATTACTAGAGAGATATTACTGTATTTTTTAGACATGAGAAACCTAACTAAGTCTGAATGAAAAATTAGTAGGGTTAAATGCAAAAGTATATTGGTTACATCAATTCTTTACATATAGTAACTAAAATTGTCAAGTATAACCTTATTTTGCCTCAATTTTTATTCAAAAAATCGATTTTTTTTATCAGTCTTGGTATTGGTCTTGCAACAGACAGGCAGTGTTAGTGTTGGTGCAAAGTGCAAGGCCAAGACCGATTTTGGGCAACACTACACATAACTTAAGAATTTTATATAAAAAATTCAAAAACTTAACTCCCTCTCAAAATTTGAGGTTTTAAGTTTCAGACTGAGTAGAATTCGAAAAACGAATACAAAATTTTTTGTCAGTCCGCCGTTCGCGCATTTTCTCGGAAATTACTGGACCGATTTTTTTTTCAAATTTGGTTTTAAAATTAGAGGTCACCGGAGGATGATCCTCCATTGACATTTCTATCCGCATTTTCCTTTCAAGATGGCGACCGAAAAACCTGCGTTGCTATAGATTGTAGCGCCTAAACGAATATACCGATTTCAATGAAACTTGGCTAAAGTCTTCTTCTCGATGTCCTTTAAATTTATCTATATAACATACTTCAACGAAAAGAAGCTGGAAAAACAGTTACGAGAGGTGGTAAAATTAAATTCCGAATAACTCAAAAAGTATACACTTTTTTGTTGATATTGTGATAAGATGCTTCAAAGGTATTTAATTTTTTTTTTAAATTTAAGAAGGCAATGGTATAGAACCGTCTCAAAATCAAAGCCCTATTAGTACAGATTTTTAAATATTTTTGGTTTATTATTTTCAATAATGAACCATTGTAATCGAACAAAAAATTTTCCTGCAAAGGTTATATCCTTTGTTTTGGTTTTTGATTTTTTAATTTGTTACTGAAGTAATGTTAATTTATCAATTTAATAATGATTAAAAAGAAAATGTTTAGTCCAATAATTGGAATCACCTTTTATTTTATTTTATTTTTTGTCACTAGGATGGTAATGTTACTTTAGATGTTTAATTGTTTGAAAATAATAAACCATTGTGAAATAATTTGCAGCGTTTTTTATTAATGTGTTTATAGCTCAATATTTTTTAATTATATTATTTTTATTAACGTATTTTACTATTTAGTTGCCTATTATCGTACATTTTATGACGTTTTACAATATTCATTATATTATTGTACTTTTTAAGACAGCCATAGATCCAAATATTATGTAATTCGGTGAGTAATGACCCTTGACCTGTGCATTGAACCTGACCTTGAGAAAGTGATTTGAGTTGAAAGTTCAAGGTGAAAAGTAATGACTAGACTCACGAAAAAAGAACGTTTTAAATATCTATTTCCTATTGCGACCTTGATGTGTATAAATAAAATTATATAGTTCGTCGAGATAACGAAATAAACAAATCTACCAAAATCCATTCTGATATCGTAATTACTTCATCGATTACGCACTCTCTAAGGAAAATTTGTTTTCGGAAATTTTTGTTTTATTTTTAATTAAAATTGAAATATTATATACTATTTGACCCGTACGAATGACACGCATATAATCTTGGTCATTGTAAAATTAACAACATAATGAGAAAATAAAATAACTAACTCAACGTGTCTTAAGATGTTAGAATAAATTTTAAAAAAAAATTAAACGCTTGTATTTTATATCTCCAGTTCTTATATGCTTTCGAGGATCTGGTTTATATCATTTCATGCTGTTTATGTGACCCCAAATTCCTGCTAATTTTCGTATAAGTGGTGTCCTTTTAAAAATATCACACGTTTTGCAATTTTCAGGAGGAGAGGAGAGAAATCGAATGGTGAATTGTATGTGAATATTAGATGAAAAAAAAAATGATTTTTTGATTGCTATAAAAATTCGTGTATGAGGCTTTTACGGAGTACGAAATACAACCTCAAATTTGTTTTTAAAAAAAATAATTGAACCCACTCCAATTTTTCAATCGGTACAAATGTTTCAAATGTACAAATTTCTATTCGGGTTCGATGATTTTTTTTCCTAAGGATTTAGCTATCTTTTCATTAATTATGGGCAAGAAAAAAAAAGTTTTTACTTTTTGAGTTATTCACAAATAAACTTTATTTTTCTTTATTATTTATTCTCTGAAATTTCGAGGGGGTGTGACTGCCTCCCCTGAAGGAGAAAATAATCTTCTAAAGGAGTGTTCAAACATTGTATTATGAAGAATTAACGAAGCGAAAAGAAAAAAATAAAATCCGTTGAGAAATAATATAGAGGTTTTGCAAGAGGCCAAATTGAAAATATGATTTAAATAGGTTTTATTTCTTTTATATAACATAAATAATTCATAACAACGAAAATCTTTAGGTGTGAATATCTTCAAAACAAAGCTTTTGAGGACATACCTTCAGAGTATTTCCTTTCTTTTTCTTAGGTCCTCAGTTCATTTTCTCAGTTTGGCGACTTAACCTTGAAACACACTCTATATAGATTACATACAAATTTTATAAATGTTTAATTTTGGCAAATATCAAAATATTCTTACTAAATATATTTATATATACATAGTTACTATTTATTCGGTGATTTAGGTTTACAAAGCTGCAGGTGAAACTGTAATTCAAGAAGCTGTCCACAAAATGCAAATATTAAGAGGAACAGTCTTCCAAAGGATGCTGTACTTAGTCAAACCAAAGGAACCTCTCTCTGTAATCTGCCACGGGGACTTCTACATTAACAATATGCTCTTCAGGTAAGATGTGGTACATATTATACATATGTGATACTCTTCCAATGACTTCTTGGGTTTCTTTAGAGCTGTATGCGTACACACGATCATTTTTGCTATTAAATTTTTTTTAAACAAAATCTTTCGATGAAGACCATTGGGGTGACGGCCAAGGAGCACTTTGCATATATTTATTCCATTTTTTTTTTTTTTTTTAGAGAAGTAGTTAGTCTTTGTCCTGTCATTCTTCGAAATGCACCCATCCTAAGGTCACTTTTTAGTATACGAGACATTGATCTGTTGTTTCGAATAGGATTTCTTCTTATTCGAGCAGCCTCAGCTCTCACTGCATTTGCCGTTATCACATAGTCGAGGTCTGTACATACATATAGAGTCTCATTATATCTATTTATAGTGCGGTTCACGAACACACGGATGATACCTAAAGGTTTCAAAGTGTCGAAAATCTCTGATCTACATTTTCCAACTTTTTGTAAGGCGATCACAGCTATTCGGTTTTCTTTATCAGCCCACTCCATGTTAATTTAGCGAAAGAAAAATACGAACTAATTGGGATTATTATCCTGACATGTAAAAAAAAATAACCTGATAGAGGTGAGGATTATCTAAATAATACCCAAAGATGTAAACAAAGTTCAACTTTTGTAACAGTATTTATGACAGAACTTGGTATAATCATTACGGCGACATAAGCCAAAAAAAAAAAAAACATTTCCTCAGCTATGTCCATAACTGGTGCGCTTACCCTACTTACCATACCTTGCCTACTCCCATTTGATTGTCTATTTACACTGTTCCAGGTACGAAGGGAGCGATGAGCCTGAAAGCGTGATGTTCGTCGACTTGCAGGTCTGCAGATACGCCTCCCTAGCCACAGATATCCTCTACTTCTTGTACTCCAGTCTTCAGCCCGGAGTGGTTTCGCTCTACCACGATGACCTCATCGAAGTCTACCAGGCCGCTCTCAACGCCGAGATCACCAGGCTGGCACCGGGGGCTTGTGGAGTGCGTTCTAATATCAATTATCCTATCCATAATTAGTATAAGCTTACAGTAACTCACATATTAGATATATTCTCTATAATACATTAGAAGTATAAGCGAAACACTTAAACTTCAGAAAGAATATAACCCTTTTATTTTATGGTGATGCTCGAGTGATAAATAAAAATAGGTTTGAAGCTTTAGAAACTTCTGATGAGGACCGAGAGGATATTGACAAGTTATGGGTAGAGATCAGGGATATTAAAGCGGTCAGTAACTCGTGTCTGGGAAAAAAGGAAAATAAGAATAACAAACCGTGGTTTGATTAAAATTTCTTAAACATGTGCAAAATAAAAAAACCGATAAATTAAAAGCTCTAAATAGTCCTAGCGAAGACAATCTGGAGTACTTCCGAATCTCAAAGAATGAAACGACAAAATTTCTCAAAAATAAAAAAAGAGAGTAACTTAACAATCATAGGAGACCATGTACAAAGGTATAAACAGAACACGCTGTTACGTTGTTTAATTTAAAAAAGTTGTTTCCGCAACAAACTTGCCGGATGTTCAGTGGAGACGGTAGGATTCGCAAAAAAAAAAAAGAAAATTAATGAAGAGTCAATTAAATATTACCAATTATCTAACAGGCGCCACGCTATTTAATTGATTGATTTTGGAAAATAGCGAAAACCATAAAAATAAAATAAATTTAATAAAAAAAAAAAAAAAGATTAGGACGCGGAGTGAGCTACGAACTCGGAACCTATGGGTTTAAAAACATATGTTAATTAACCTCATAACCTATCGAACCTTCTTACTCGGTTAATATTCATTTTCCCTAATCCCTCGAATAGGGTTTTACAATTTCTTATTAAACCTTACGAAAAAAAATATATATAATATATACATAAAACGTGAGAACAAACTGAAGAAAAATAAGAAAATAAAACTGGCTATTATTAATACTAATTATGAATTTACTTATTTCTATTGATTTAAATAACTGTTAAAGGAAATGAAAACTATGAAAAAAAAATTAGATTTATAGAAAAACAAAGAAAATATAATTAACTTTAATTATAAAAAAAAAGAACATAAAATTATTGTAGAACTAAACATTAACTTAGACTATACAATAAACCAATTACAAATATTTTTAAAAAAATAGATAGGAAATAAAAAGTTATGTATACATATTTACATCTGTGAAGATGTTCATTCACCAACTTGTAAAATCAAGCGGCACTCGTCGTTGATAATCACAGGTTCATGGATACGAAAAGAAAATCCGGTGTACACCGTAAAACTGAAGTATTTCACACACAAAAATCCTTAGCGTGCCTCAACACTCGCGAGGTTCCGCCATATCTCTGTCATTTGTTTTTCTCTCTCATATGTCGTCTGTTATACTGACTTAAAATTAATATTTACAACTAATACTTAAAACTAATTTATTTTTAGCTAACCCTCTTCGAGGTAAAACTAACAATTATTTTACGAACTAATTTTTTTTTTTGTATTTTATTTTTCGTCACAACGTAAATGTTTAGGGCTCGTCACATCTGGATTTAGAGATGAAAATAACAATATTCTGACTGATCCGGTAGACATAATAAGTTTAAGAACCATTTCGACAATATTTTAAATACGGGAAATTATGATCTGTGTCCTCCTTCTGAGTACCAGAGTGCTGAACCGTTAATAGAAGAACCGAGTATAGAAGAAGTTGAAGAAGCCATCGGAAAATTAAAATCTTATAAAGCAGCAAGAACCGATAATATTCCTACTGAACTAATTAAGGCATGCGTGGAAGCTGGAGTTTCTAAAATACATCGGTTGGTTAAAAATGTCTGGGTGAATGATAAATTACCTAAAGAACGAAAAGAATCTGTTCTTATTCCGAATCACAAAAAGCACTCGAAGACTAATATCGAGGTATTTCAATATTTCCGATATGTTATAAAATATTCACTTTAATCTCGATTTAAACTAATTAATTCCCTTCAATTTTGTCACAAAGTGTAAGAAGGTATATTTAATTCACGATTACAATCACAAATTTATTGGAGATAAATAGAAAAAAGTAAAAACATTGTGTTCATTGAAATTAAATTATTTATCACTAATAATCTATTATCACAGAAAAGATTTTAAAATAGTCAAAAGTTATCCTACACTCTTTACTTCAGTCTCTTCTGGACTTCTGCTTGAAGCTTTGAGTTCTGAATTTTTGAAAAATCTATCCGTACAATGAATCGATTCATCAGTCTTAGTCTAAAATGATCAATTAGAATGTCAATGATCAATTATCATTCGGAATTTCATTCTGACTGACCGTTTAGTATCCGCGACAAAGAGATACAAGTTACGTGGATATGTTGAACCTAACGTGAAATCCTCAATTCATAGAGAGTAATTTTATTTTGTGAGAATCGAACATGCGATTACATTGCCTAACTCTAGCAATTTAATGATAATACACATGTAAGCTCAAAGTCGTGAAATAGACAGGTATCTATTAAGTATATTACTTACATATTATTTTATAACTAGTACATCAAGCAACATAACCTGTTATTTATTTTTATTATTTATTTTTTTTTTGTGAAGTCAGGCATTAAATATGATTTGCAAATATGTAACCTCGACCTAAATGGGTTCGAAACGGAAAATAAAAATTCAAAAAACATGTATGTTTGTGTGTTTAGTGTTGATAAGTAAATACACATCTAAAATAATTAATATATATCATAATATATATATTAATTGACATATACATAATGAATATGACAAAATTGTTCTGATTTATTAAAGCTTAAATATTTATATTAGTCTTTAACTTGAATCCTACTGAAATACATTAAAATATTTATTAAATCTATCTATGGATGGTTTATTTAATATTTAATAATGGTATTATATTTTTTATCTATGATTGTGTGATTGTACATGGGTATGAATGTGTTTTATTTATTTCATTATCATTCGGCTTTAATCTGTTATTTTACTTATCTTGTATATTACTTACTTGGTTATTCTTATTTATTTTCCTTTCATATGTACATATTGTGTGAATGAATACTATAGTCCTGGTACCAATGCCCTTCAGTGTGGCAGACTGTATTAATACTGAATAATAAAAAAAAAAAAAAAAATATATATATATATATATATATATATATATATATATATATATATATATATATATATAATTGGTAATTGGTTGACTGTAGTGGATAATGAAGAGAAGAATAGTTGGGGTGCTCAGTCAAAAAGGAAGGCAAAAAATAAATTATAATATTTATTTTTTACATATGCCTTTTTTCGTTTCGACCTGAAGTTCAGGCCTTCATCAGGGCTAAGAAAATAACCAGATAACAAGGTATGAGAAACATAAGTAATGATGGTAAAAAAGATATTAAAAAATGAGAAAAAAAAATTATTAGAAAAATAAAATAGATAGATATAAAGTAAAATGAAATTGTTATAATAATGACTAAGAACTAAGAGATAAATAATAAAAACTGTTACATAGTGTGGGATGATGAAGTAGGCATAATCAAAAAGGGGTGACAAAAGTGTTACATTGGGAATCTTAGAATAAAATGTAAAAACATAAAAAAGTTATATAAGAAATATAAAGTTATATAAGAAATGAAAAGAAAAATATAATAAAGAGTTGAAAACAGAGAAAAGGAATGAAAGGAAGGAGGGAAGAAATTGAGAAAGTTGAAATAAGAAATAAATAAAAGAAGTACTACCTTTCTCCTTAAGTGTCAAGGGGAGAATAAAAGTCGTTACAAGGGAGGGGGCATATGTAAAAAATAAATATTATAATTTATTTTTTGCCTTCCTTTTTGACTGAGCACCCCAACTATTCTTCTCTTCATTCTTCATATATATATATATATATATATTATATATATATATATTATATATATATATATATATATATATATATATATATATATATATATATATATATATATCTTGGTGCTTGCAGCGAGTCAAAATAGAATTAGTTAGTTTTCGAGAATATTTTTAATGAATGTAAAATCGATGAAGTTGTATTTCCTGTTAGTCGATCTTAACAAAAAAAGTTTTTAACATCCTAAACATATCGCTATTTTAGTTACTGTAGTTTTTACTTTCAATTACATATTTATGAAATTAACCTATCTAAGCTTTAATGAGTTGGAGCAGCTGGCCTTAAGAGTGGTAAATGTTTTGTTTTTAGCACATACATATACAAAATTGATGTTTATTTTGTAACTTTATTTCTGATTTTTTTTTTTATAATTTAATTAATTTTAATCCACACATATTTTCTAAACTAATTAATTCTATCACAGGTATCCATGAAACAGATTCAGGATGAAATCGAAAACCACGCCCTCTACGGCCTCATCATGGCATTCCTGATATTGCCGGCAGTGACTGCTTTACCTGGAGCAACTTTGAATCTCGACAAAGTAAGCCACCATTATTTTTTTTTTTTTTATTATAGTTAGGTTGAACGTACCAGTTATGGACAGGGGGCCCAGTAATGGACAGGTTAGAATTATAAATAATAAGTTTTCTTGTTGATTTTTTTTTTTTTTTATTACAACAATCTGTCTCTTGGATATCAGTTATAGTGAGATGGATAACATTCACACTATATGTACAAACAAATATAAAATAAATACAAGAAAAATAATAATCAAAAGTATATACAATAAATAATAAAATAAAATATCCTAAAAATAAGAAAATTAAAACTAAGCAAAAACCACATGTATACCTATATACAATCAGGCGAGGGAACTCCAGGAGAATCCTGCGCTACTCTCTCAACCGCATCACTGGTACCAAAGCCAGCGGAAAAATGTTGATTTAAAGATTACAATTTTTTCCTAGATTAAAAGAACAATACTCTTTAATAACAACTTTATGGACAAAGTTCCCAAAAGAATATTTTAAAATGCCTATCAGTGTTGTTTCTATAGTGCTCTTGAGATCAGTGTGTTTCATATATTCCTACTAACAGATTTATTAAGAGCAAGTTGAACATTTATGTTCATAGGTGTTTAAATTTTAGGGTTTTCAATATGAAAATATTCAATTTACCATTTTAGAACCTCAGCTAATCGATTTATCAATAAATTAAAGAACCTATTTTGTAATAGAACAGATTCAAAGAGTTCAAAGCACTATTTCTCGACACACTAGCGGATCCAGGATTTAATTTTGGGGGGGAGGGGGACTTCAGCCCGAAACTTTCTTTTTCATAAAAATAACGATAATTATTTTGGAAAAACAGAAAGAAACTAACTACCTATATGAAATGGTGTTTAAGGGATTCCTTAAGTCCTTTTAAATGTAATTACACGAACAATAATACTTTAAGAGGTATTTTTAAAATTTTTTTTCCCATAAAACATGGTTGTATTTTTCCATTTGGGGGGGGGGGACTTCAGCCCGAAAGCCCCCTCCTCCCGTAGATCCGCCCGTGTCTCGACACAAAGTTGTATAATTTTAATGATTTTTTCAAATTAAAATTTCTTCAGGGCGGGGTGGCCGAATAGGCTAAAGCGTGTGCACAGCACCGCTAGTTGCCTGGCAACCGGATAACAGAGATTTGAGATGATTTAAAAAGTACGAGTTCGCGGCACGGTGCCGGAGGGGATTTTAAATTCCCCGCCCTCACCCTCCGGCCCGGGAAAATCCCGTATAGCCTAAAAGGCAAGGTAGAGAAGAACAAAAAAAAAAAAAAAAATTAAAATTTCTTTAGGCACGTTTTGCATTTTTTTTGTGGAGAGTGAATTAGATTGAACCGTCAGAGCTCCGATGTGTAACGCTAGGGTAAAATCGGCTGCAGTTGTCTAATTGAACTGTTTTTTGCCTATAGATTAAAATATCTCTAAAATTAAAAATCGGACCTGTATACTATGACCGGTAAAAAAAGGGTAAATAAAAACATAATAAAATAAGTTTTAGTAAATATAATTTTCTATCGGAATCTTTACTTGTTGGGCGCGTGACTTTACCAGTCTTTCATCTATAAAGAGATAAATCTAGAAAATATAAGGTACTTACCCATTATTTGGTCATCATTAAATATTTATCGTACCATGCTAGCTAAGGTGAGAAAGGATTAGGTTGGATATTTTTATAAAGCAGCAAAAAAAGGTTAACAGATCTATTTACGGAAAGAAATATTTACAGAATTAATACTATTTACAAAAAAAAAAAAAAAATAAAATAAAAGGAAAAAGAGAGAATTTATGCGTAATTACTATATACAATTAAAGATAAATAGAAAGATAATAAAAATACAAAAAAGATTTTATATACAATATTATGTTATATACAATTAATATGCTATGCCACATATGAACATCAAGAAACGATAGTATAAGATATAAGATGTAAGAGCACATGCACATGCTAAAATATTTTTTTTTTTTTTATTTCTTTATGACATTTACAACTGTATTACATAAATACATCAAGTAAATTTGGACATAATTGATATAATGACATGAATACACTTGCTGAGTAACTACCCAATGGTAGCACTCTAATGATATGACTACATTAGGAGATCACGGGGCCATCTTCTTTTCAGACGCCTCGGAGGGTTATCAGGAATTGAAGAGGAAGCAAGGTTAGAAACGAGAGGATTGGGATGATTCTGAAGTTTATTATGGAAGGATAGGTATCTGGATTGGGCCAGATCTGAAACATAAGGAATATTAAGATCTTTATGGATAATTTTATTAGTGACAAAGTAAGGAGCATTGAGGATTTTACGAAGGATTTTGGATTGTAAGGATTGGATGCGAGAGGAATTCGATGGTTTAGTGGAGCCCCATAGCTCAACTCCGTAAGTCCAAATAGGTCTTATTATAGTCAAGTATATAAGTCTTTTGTAATTAATGGGAAGTTTAGAGCGTTTGTCTAGTAAGTGCTGAAGTAATCGGAAACGTCGAGCGGTTTCTTGTCGTTTCAGTCTAGTATGAGGATTCCAAGATAGTCGTTTGTCCAGGTGGAGTCCTAGGTATCGGATTTGCTCAACAGGGATAAGTGGAGTATTGTTAAAGGAAACTGTAGGACAGGAAGTCGTTGTTTTACGACGAAGGGTAAAGGTAATTTGGTGGGATTTATTGGAGTTTATGGGATTTATTTTCCAGTTTTGACACCATTCTTCTAGATTTATGATGTGTGATTTATGATGTGACGGGTGCCAAACTCTATCAAACGCCTGTTCAACGTCGAGAAAGACTCCCGTACAGTACATTCCGCGCTCCAATGCAGAAGAGACTACGTCTACCACACAATGACATTGCTGTATAGTGGAATGGGAAGTTCGGAAACCAAATTGGTGATCTGGGATTATGTGTTTAGAATTTAGGATAGGGTACAGGCGTTTTAAGATGAGTTTTTCTAGGATTTTGCCCATGATGGGTAATGCTAAAATATGAATTAATAATTAGTCACAGGAAACAAAAGAGAGAAGTGTTCTATTTTTTTCCAATGCTATCTTAATCTTGGTTACAATACTGTAAGCGACACAAATGTCCAGAATTTCATTCCTCTGTATAATGAGCTATTATTCAAAAATTTATCTTAATACGACGTCGTGTTAGAACGGCGAAAAGGAAAAATAGTGTCGAAAACCAAATCATAACGAGTTTTATAAAAGATATGCATAAAATTATCTCAGAAACTCAAAGTCGGACCTGTATACTGTAAGTAAGGAAAATGTTCAACATTTCATCCTCTTTATAATGAGCTATTATTCAAAATTGTATCTTAACTTGACCAAAAGAAAATGTTCTTAAAATTATCCAAAATTTTGAACTTATTGATGGATTTAAATGCCTCTTAAACCTTAAATGGACCTGTCTGAGCTGGCAGACGAGCATTTTCGTAATACTCAAAAGGAGTACAATCAGGCTGTTAGGTTGAAAATTTTCATATAATATTCCGGCTTTTTCGGCTCCAGGTCTGTAATTAATAATCTCATTATCAGACTCTATAAATTATTTTTATTTCAATATTTTAACAATTTTATCGACTATCATAATTGAATAATCTCTATTAAAATGATGTTCAATTTACAATAAAAAACTGGAGATAGGTAGGCTTCGTATTCTTTCGGACAAATTCGGGTATTTTCGGGAATCTACCTGTAGCATGATCTAGATGATCTTGATATTAGCGATTATCTTGGAGTAACGAAAAGAAACTGTAGTACATTAAAGTTTTAAAATGTACACAATAAAGTAAATATTTTAATATATTTTGGTACCTTATAACTTATTTAAATGTTTTTTTTTTTTATTTCTTAAAGACATTTACAACTGTATTAAATAAATACATCTAGTAAATTAGAACATAATGTATTTAATGACATGAAAAACACTTGCTGAGTAACTACCCAGTGGTAGCACTCTATTTAAATGTAATGTTCAAAATATTCATTCGATTTATAGTCCGTGGTACAGACTCTTTTTTTTTTCGAATATTAACATCCGCCTGAAACTTCGTAAATAGTTTCACCTCATCGTAACCTACAACTATTTTACTTACCAACACTAGCGGATCCAGGATTTAATTTTGGGGGGGAGGGGGGCTTCAGCCCGAAAGATTTTTTGTTCATATACATATAACGATAATTTTTTTTTAAAATAAAGAAATTAATTACCTATATGAAAAGGTGTTTAAGTGGTTCTGAAAGTCCTATTAAATATAATTGCACAAAAAAGAATACTTTAAGAGATAGTTTTTAATATTTTTTTCTGTAAAACATAGTCACATTTTACCATTTTGGGGAGGCTTCAGACCGAAAGCTCCCCCCTCCCCCCGTAAATCCGCCTGTGCTTACGAAAACTCTTGGAATTGGAGCGTTTTCAATCTGGAGGGAGTAAACTTTGTCTATTGAATTAGGTACTAAAAACTCGTAAATACTCATTTACTTCCTTCTTGGATGGTAAAATAAATTGTTAACAACATATATTAAAAAGGTGGCCAAAAATATATTGGGCCATTTGTCCTATGCAACCTCGTTATTTTTGAAAATTTGTGGATGTAGGTCACGCCAAACGACTCGATATTTTTGGAGGTTACCTTTTTTTCGACTTTGTGATCAAATTATTTTACGATCCAATTAGAAAGCAAATGGTTATTTACGAGTTTTTAGTTCCTAATTTAATAGACATTATAACATAATAACAAATACACACACAAAAAAGATAATGCAGCAAGTAGCTCAATGCAGTAAGTCTCTTGGCCAGCGCCTCAGCAGTCTTCTGGGCGGATTATATGGATTTGTGGCAGTAGATAGAGCTTGAGTAACTGGACTGGAATTTAGAGTCAGTCTGTCATGGAAATTATTAAAGCGGTCAGTGGCAGTTGCCGTGATGAAAGGAGTGTTAAGATCAGTGTGTAACGTGAGGTTTGAAACGTAAAAGGGTGCGTCTAAAAT